GAGGAAACCATGGCTGTCCGCTCACCAACCCCGCAGACAGCGAGGAACTCTGGAGGACGTGATGCCCCAACGCCTGGGCCTAATCCCAGGGACAATAGGTCCCCTCGCCATCAGGATCACATCTCGTAGCTTTCCCTCCGTCGCTCAGAGACTGGTTCTCATACCCCTCCAGGTACTTAACGCGATGCTCAGCAGGCTTATAAATTGAAGAATCCTTGACCATGACCGGGTGCGTAATCCGGCGCATCTTGGAAAGTAGACGAGTGCGCCTGGTGTCATCTGGGGAAGAGAGTGCATTGGGCCTGGGAGCAACCTTGGGGGTAGCGTCGTTTTTCTGCATGATGACCAAAAATTAAAACCTCTCTTATCCTGGGCTGGGGAATTAAACCCGCCATGTCTAGCTCGCCTCCGATTTGAATCATCTCTAACTGAAGATTGCGATCTTTTTTGACAGACACAAAGAGTTGCTTGTGTGACGTGAACAATCTGGAAGTTATTGAGCTCGTCAGTAGACATTGAGTTTATGTTCGTTTGAGTCTGTGTTTGTTTCTCTGTTTTGTTTGCTTGTTCCTAGCTTTCATATTGATATCATTCATATTACTGGTAATAATGAAAATCCTGCAAATTATTTGTAGTTATACTTCCTGTACCAGTATTACGTCGATTTTTGTGTGTGCCTCTACCTTTACACTGTCGACAAAAAAAAAGTTTAGGTAAATTTTTGTGCCGTAAACAAATACTCTGCAGGGAACCAGGAGCGGCTAATATCTGTCACAATGATTCAATGTTTTTGTGTGCGTAGCGAACCACTGTGGTTACATGTTTTACTTTTCAAAACTTATGTAGCAACCCGAGGATAACGACGCATGACGAAGGGTGAACAGCCCAAATGTCTGAAGTCTAATCAGAGACAGACGTGATCGGAATGAAACGTGGCAATGTCCTTCAGACAGGCTTGAACGAACTGAAGCAAATTTGAAAACAAGATTTGTCGACTGGTGGGTCAATAAACCGTCTGTCAGCAAATACGTTGGGGATCCATCGAGTATTTTTTTTTCTTCCCAAACCAAAATCACATCGAAATTTGGTGGAATGTTCCTGGTGTTTTTTTTATCAGATGGTATTTGTAAGGTGTTTAGACGTGTCGTTACAAGTCCACTATTAGCCCGTCTTTCGTCAAGCAAATTACGCCCGTGAATTGAAGATACGTGTCAGGGAATGCTGCTACGAAAGATTGCAGAGCGCATCGTTTAAATCATACGATGAGGTGGACTTCCCAACAACCAAAATGTATTCAATAACACTCAAAAAGGGCTATACGGAAAGTAATTTAAACAGTCATAAAATGCCCTTTTGATAAAAGATTCTGCAGGAATGCACGCTGATGTACATATGTATCATGAACGTTGCCCCCTATATAATGTCGTATGGTGTCAGCCCCCCCACCCGTTTTCAAATTTCCAGGGGGGTCACCCCCACCACCCCCCCTCCAATTTCCCGCTCAAATCTACCCCATTCGTAGAAGACCACAGTCAACCTCTCAGAACATAAGTTGTACCATGGTAATACCATGGAGTTTCCTACAATGCAAAGCCAGTTGGCATTCGCAATGATACAGGAGACTGTCTTAAGGTTCTTGGTTTATGTAGGCGCTGGATATGGAACGTGGTCGGCCTTCCAGCACTGCTTCCCATTGATACGCGTATGGCGCGGGGGGGGGGGTTCACGAAACACGATGAAAGCCACAAGAATTAAGTGATAGCCGAAAACTCTTACTTAGCAAAATAGGTTACCAGCCAAACGTCATGTCCTGCACAAGACATAAAATTGGTTCTCGAGTGGCTGTCGCTTAGCGCTTGGGCAATTAGGTAATGAACATCTGTAGTGCTCCTACACAGAGAAGTATTCTGACTTTTGAAAAAAATTATAAGTTCTGAATAATATTCAAAACGTAATGTCAGAGTACTAATCGGTGCCATCAAACTCTACAAAGTCATTTGACTAATTTGAATTTTAATGTTAACCTTTTTTCATAACAGTTCCATATTTGGGCAATTCTGTTTAGACGGTTCAAACTATGTTTACACAACAATATGCATTCTATGAAATACACTTAACAAAAGAAATGACATGGAATTTAGAGATGACATCTTAAAATGTGATTTAAACACACGCTCTTTGCCCGAAATTAATGGAAAACAATGGTGGGCTTTGTCACGTGAGGCGATGCAGCCTTTTCCCTTCGATTTCACACGGCAAGCGCCGACGAAAACCCAGTTTTTTAAATCTCGTCGCCCCATCCAAAAAATCAGGTAAATCAATTAGTGGAAGATTTATGAGTACGTGTTGGCCTGGATTATTGCCTGGGCTATTGTATTTCATCGAGCAAGGGGCGAAATGAGTGAGCGATCCGCCGACGACATACTGGGGGGCACGCACGGCCGCTTACCCCCAGGGGCCGATGATGAGGTGCGGTGATCGGGCTGAAAGCGATCGGAGACTCGGAGAGATCATCAATTCCACGAAGGCATCAACCTCGAGGTCCAGTGATTACTTTAAGGGGAGACCATTATTTCTTTTGATTCATCACCTAATTGATTTAAAATTGGCGATGGAATTTTGATGGTTTCTTAACCTAGTTAATTGCTAAACCGGCCGCCTATTAAAGGTTTAGCATAATTAAACAAACGGTTGTCAAAATTTCATCTTTCCCGAAAAGACGAGTTTAGGACATGACCCATTCTATTTCCTGGGCAATATCTATCAAACGCCTCCATTAGAAAGCAATCGAACACACCCACTGAGTTTTCTTTGTTCCTTAGGTCGCAGCCAAACGCTGTAGTCGGTGTCGGTTCTGAACAGATTTTAACCAATGAATTAGCTGAAGAAGGGCTTATTCGAGGAAGCGCATAATATTTTTTTCACATGAAGTGTGCCGTGGCTTGTATGTGGGTTTTGTTCGTTGCTAGATTTGAAATCGAGGAGAGGGGCACCCGTGGGCCTGGACATTCGTTGGGGCATGTATCCCTCCCTCAACTTTTTTCTAGCAACTCCAGTTTAACTTGCGTGTCGTCTCTGGATTATTGGCTACGGCAGGCATTTACACGCACGGGAAATGGCGGCAGTCGCATGTGGGCGACTCCCACGGTCACACGTGTGTTTTGCAGCCTTGTGGGTGCAGACCACTAATTCAAGTGAGAATTTCTGACCAGCTCATTAGCATTAAAAGTGCCTCCCACAGTATCTTTTGAAAAAGGAGATTGTTTGGCCCGCAAAATGGTGAGATTGTGTAAATCGTTGCCAGGATCGACTCCCTGGATCTTTGAGCTTTCATATGAGAGCAGGAGGGCTAAAAACTACGGTTGAAAAATGGTCCTAAGTGCCCGTTAAAGTTGAGGGTTGCCACTTGAAAAATGGCTGCAATCAGACTTCGCAAAAATCACTTTTTGGGGATGATTTTGTTTTGTGGGAATAATTAAAAAATGTAATTGGTTAACCCACAAAAAATTGAAAAGAAATTGACAGATAAGTGACCAGACAAGAATTTCATTTGTGTTTCAGAAATCTCAGGGGTGTTGGCGTGCATGCTATTGGGCCCTGAACGGTGCTGATTTTACACTGTTTTCAGTGGGGCTTGAATTAGTGGACAGTACCCTTGTAGCCGGCCAAATATCCAAGCCTTCTGTGTACAGTATGTGTCCACGTTCCATGAAAGCCTAGTTACACCAATCGAACACATGCATCAAAGTAGCATTCGATGAGTTGGTGATACCACTACACCCCTCCCCTTTTTTGTCTTGTTTGCTTCGTTTTGTTTTATTCCCTATAGGGTTCTTCCCACCTTCGGAAGAGATCCTTAGTCATCGTTGGAATGATCGAAAGGGGTGGGGAGCCATGAGGGCGCCTGCCTCAGAGACGGGGGTCAGACCATGGTCGGGCTATAGTCAGACTGGCCAAGAGCTGTTTACTGGGTCAATCCTCTTATCTTCCATCAGTGTGAGTGAGTCCCTGAAGCCGTCGCTATGCCAGCTGAGAAATCGATCCGCGTCACTGTGCAGATGGCATCCATTCCTTTTAGGTTTGTCAAGGTCTTGGTTTTAGTTATGGCCGAAACCGGAACGCGAGTCTTGAGGCCCATTGGTGCAAACTGTAGTTAAATTTGTTCTGTGTTGTCTTTGTTTTCTCCTCTTTTTTTCTCTTATAATAAAATGATTGGAAGTAGCTGTAGCATTTTAACACACGCTGACGGATATAACAGCAATGCGAATGAAGTTTTTTCTAACTCGGACGTTTAGGCCTACTGGACTGGTCCAGTTTAGCTATAGGAATGGGAATAGTATGCGTACGGCGCACAGGACGAGAATAAGCCTTTTTGAGCCACATTGAATCTGGTACACTGAATTCTTTGAATTCGTGTGAATACAACAATTGGAAGTCTCTTTACTAAAGACACTGTTGCTATATATACTTCGTGATTCGGGGCAAGCCCTTAATTTGCTTAGTGGACATAAAAGACATCTTGCACCAATACATCAATACACTCCAGATATACACTCATAAGTTTTTGAAATAACGGCACAAATCGGTGATATAACCAACCACTTTTGCCAGGCCACTTAATTAAAGTTCCACATCTGTACAATGATCCCTATTACTAGAGCATTATGTCGCGCGAGTTTTCTTTGGGTAAGGCGAAGCTGCTCCAAGGCCACAGTATTCTCTTCCCGAAAGGTCAGCTTCCTCTCTTTTATCGTGTTCAATGAAGTCTGGCTTCACAATATAACATATTTTATTCTCCTCCAAATATTGGTTTTGTAGGATTTATAAAGAGCTGCAAAGTTCCCAAACGGTTCTGAAGACCTATTCGTTGTCGCTGACTACACTGACTTGTAGACACGGTTTATTGCACAAGAAACCTTACACACTTTACTTTCGTCAGGATTTGGCGTTGACCAAAGCAGACGAAGGAGGGCGCTGTTTCATGAAGTTGTCTGCAATCGGTCTAGAACATGGCTGCGCCCATTGTCCTCGTCGCGGGCGTTTTGACAGCTTTTTCATTATTTGACAGTGCTTCCAGCTCAGGCAGAACGCTGAAACTTACTCACGTGGTAAATAAGTCTTGGGAATTTTGTATTTGAAGATTTAGCTTTTTTGTTCTGGTTGTAGGGCCTAGGCCTACCCTGAGTATGCTGAGTAGGCCTAGGGCCTAGTCCGTCGTACCGTAGCACTAGTAGTAGTAGTACTTAGGCTACTGTACTAGGCCAGTACTAGTAGTACTAGATTCAGACATGTCAGAATTACTTCCTGAACAGTAAGATAGGCTTACTCCCCCATGCATCGACCTTACTGCACTCCACCTTTTTTCTATGGTTACGCATGCTATGGCATTTTGAAAGCCGCCCAGTCATCCTACCAGATAAAACATCCGTTTGCATTTGCTTTAAAGCAAATTCTCCCCCTAAAGACCCTATTAATAGTAGCTAACCTATATGGAACTACTGTTATCGATTGTATTTTGTAGCGTTTCACATGTTACTGGCAAAAAATGAGGTACATGTACATTCTACCATCCTCACCTCTCAGCTTATCCCTCGGTGATCCCTACACACCTGCATTCTCTTGTGGCCATATGTCACATGATAAAAACAGGTGCAGCGTATTCGTGCACCAAATGTTTATGGTGCTTTGGATACCAGTCCCGATAATTCCAACTACTTATGTACAGAGACGTCTGGGAAATCTGTGGCCAGGGAACCACACTGATCACACATCGGCTTGACCATTTTGCAATAAATAAATCCATGTATTACATGTACATGGAAAACAGACACTTTATTAATTTCACAACTTCACAACCGTATCTTCGCAAAATATTATCTCTCCCTAAAGTACATATTTCTCAACATGTTAAACATGTGTAAACAGCTAGCCTGACAATGCAGCGTGTATACTATGCCCTGACATTTCCATCCCTGCCCCCTCCCCACTTCCAAAATCCCACCCTCTAGGGTGTATGTAAAATCATATCAAAATCGGAAGATTTGGGACTGTTAGGGTTAGAGCAGAGCACAGTACTCATTTGGCCTCAGTATTGTTTTATATTGCACTCTTCTTCATAAGAGGGAGAGTACTGTACTCCCCAAGGGGTGGATGAATTGAGTACCAATATTATGCAAGTTAGTCCTTTTGCCTTAGTAAATATAGTGATACTTGTTATTTCTCTTGAAATTACAGTAAAAAAAAACAGCGCTTAGTGATATCCATGATCTCATGACACCATAGACAAAAAAGCCCATATCTGCCAGTGTACGACGGCACATGTGAGGCTACTGCACGCAGACGCCATGTTGACTGGCTGCCAAGCGCACAAGCCCGGCAGTGGCCATTCAGAAAACCACACTGCACTTCGTCGCTCAGTGGTCAAATGCACTTACTCACACGATCTAAAACCTCGATTTTTCTAAGGTGTTTTGGACTCAAAAAAGCCTCTAAAATGCCACTTGAGACAATGCCTGTGTTTAGCAGATAAAAACTTGCAGAAAACTTCACTTTTTTGTGGAACTTTCGATGAGGAGATTGTGCAACTCAAACCGATTGTTCCTTTAACTGATTTCTTACAGAAACAGCCTGGTTGATTTTAAATCTCATTCTCCCTTCTTTTACAACTTGATGCAGGGCTAAAAATCTAACTGTGTTTCATGTGGACTGAATTCATCAATCTAACACAAACATAATAACTTCTGTGTGGAAAAATGAGGGGGGAGGGGCCAAAATTACTTGGAGGGGACAGAATAACCTGGAGGGGGGACAGATCTGCCGGGTCAGAGGAAACACTTACCTCGGTAAATCTCCCCCCCCCCAGACAGTTTTACCGGGGGACAGATTTACCGTCTACACCAGTACATGTATGTTGGACAGTCAGTTGGAGTGTAGAGCAAGGAGACAAGCAAACTGGCAGTCTGATTCCATTTATGTATATTATTACATGTATTGGATGCAGCAGTCAGTTTTCCACTGCCAGACTTTAACTTGCACATGGTAAGAAAACCTATACAAAAGTAGGCTCCATGTTGCCACACTTTGTAAAGCAGGCTTGGAAAATGGAGCAGGATTTTGCCCCTGTCTCACAGTGGGTCATCTAGTTTTCTTTGATGGCATCAGTGATGGCATGGACATCATTCTTGATGGAGGACAAAACTTGTGACTTTTTTCTAAAAAAGATGAAGAGGCTGTAAAATGTTTGTCATTTTGCTGGATGATTCCCCTTCCAATTTTCCTGTATGTTATATTATGTAGATTTCTAT